CTCCATGTCCACCCTAGGTAACTATATCCTTTCCAGAACAGGGTGAAGCTGGTTTCCATCAAAAACTCTACAAGATGTTAGTAAGCAGTAAAAATAATAGAATAATGAATTGAAGATTCATATTAAATATTGTAAACAAAGAGCATTTCTTAACTGCAGAATTTAGAACTGTTAGCATGCTTAGAGGCAATGCATCTCTTTTATTTAAACACTTTTTTTTTTTTAATAATAGTGGCCAGGCATGGTGGCTCACACCTGTAATCCCAGCACTTTGGGAGGCCGAGGCAGGCGAATCACCTGAGGTCAGGAGTTTAAGACCTGCCTGGAAAACATGGTGAAACCCTGTCTCTACTAAAAATACAAAAAATTAGCCCGGCATGGTGGCGTGCACCTGTAGTCCCAACTTCTCGGGAGGCTGAGGCAGGAGAATTGCTTGAGCCCTGGAAGTGGAGGTTGCAGTGAACCAAGATCGCACCACTGCACTCCAGCCTGCACAACAGAGTGAGACTCAGTCTCAAAAAATAATAATAATAGTGGAGATGGGGGGCTCACTCTGTTGTCCAGGCTGGTCTCGAACTCCTGGGCTCAAGCAATCCTCCCACCTGGGCCTCCCAAAGTACTGGGATTACAGGTATGAACTACCATGTCCCGCCCTTGCATCTCTAAAGGAAGCAGAAAGCAGTGTTTCCCAAACACCTTTCAAGATATTCCCTGAGGAACACCAAGGGTCTGAGGCATCGCCTTGCAAACACTGGATCGGGCATGGGCCTCTTGTTTTGAAATATAATTCATGGGTTATCAAACATGGAAACACTCTCAGAGATCAGCTAGCCTGCCACTCATCTTACAGATGGGGAAACTGAGGCCTGGAGAGGGAAGAAGGTTCCCAAGGCAACACAGAGCCTCCACAGCCACTGAGTCTTGACCCCAGCCCTTGGGGTCCAGAGGCCCAGCTCCAGCTGCCTGTTCGGCTGTGCCACGTTCTGGGTTTCTATGTAGGTCTCTCCCATCAAACCCTCAGCTCCTCAAAGCCAAGGTCTGGTCTCTATCACCTCCCAGCCCCAACTCCTGGCCCCGTGCCCTTCACAGAAGACATTCACAGAAGTTCCCAGCAGCTGGAGAGGCTCAGGGCAGACGCCAGGAAGGGCTTTCCAGCAGCTGGGTACAGATGGCAGGAATGGGCAGTCAACTTCTCTGAAGGCTTCTCAGAAGAGGGCCGAGGCTGGGCTGCCAGAGGCAGTGCTGGGCACTGGCCCCAACTTCCTGGTTTCCAGAGAGGGTGGAGTTGAGAGTGAAGGAAGATTCCGGCCCCCGGGAGCTGCCTTCCTGGCCTGGGTCCGAGACCCTCAGCTTGCAGGAGAAACAGGGAGGGGCAAGATGCCCTGTTGGGACAGGCCCTGGAATGCCATCCTCCTCCCCCAGAGCTCAGGCCCTCAGCCTCCAGGAAGCCACTCCTGCCCACTCCAGCCTCCCTGGTCTTCTCCTCTTTGGAACTCTGATAGCAACTCAGCTCAGGGAAGTGAGCCAAGGTTGAGCATGGCCCTGCCCTCAGGGGCTCCCAATTGGAAGTGGAGACTGGCCTGTCCCCCAGGCTGTGTAGTAAGGAGGCAAAGCACATCCAAAGGTGTCTCCTTCTCTGAGGGAAAGTCACAGTGAAAAGAATTCCAACCAAGGTGCCCAAGGTGTGTCCCGAGAGAGGAGCTCTCGGTAGGGCTGCAGCAGTGCCTAGACTGCCAGCAGGCAGTGGGGGGACGGTGCTCCAGGGGAAGGCGGGGCAGGCCCAAAGGCCTGGGTGAGGAGAGGAGGCAGAGGCAGCCCCACCTGCAGCTGCACTTGGGGCCTAGGGGTAGTAGAGCAGAGTGGTCAGAGGCTGGGCTGGGACCAACCACAAGTCCCAGTCCACACCCTACCATCATTAGCTGGGCGAGCTCAGGCCTGTCGCTGAATAGCTTTGTGCCTCAGTTTCCTTCTGAAAATGAGAACAGCACCTACTCAGAGGGTTGTGGGGAGGATAAAGTCCAATGACAGGAGCCCTCCAAGCTGAGCCAGGACCTGGGGAGGCCCTGGAGTGTCGCCTTCGCTGTGAAGGGGCATGGCAGAGGAGGCCCACCCATGACAGAGGAGCTTGTCATCCCAAGCAGGCATGCCACCCCGATCTGACATTAGGATTCAAAAGGCAAATTATAAACTAATTATAAACTCCTAATGGGGAGGCCGAGGTGGCTGCTCAATAAATACTTGTGCACTTGACTTGAGGTGAGGCCCCTCCACACCTCCCAGTGCCGGCCCAAGAGCGAAATGATTTCCTCTGATTCACATGTGTTAAGTAGTCACTATACTATGTAGGCGTGCGTGTGTGTGTGTGTGTGTGTGTGTGTGTATTCTTATTTAATTCTCTCATCACTTGGGGATATCTCGGTTGCATAAGATTATCAACATTGTACATATGCAAAAGCTGAGTCCCGAGAGGTTCACAGCATGATTTGCCTAAGGCCCCTTGGGTACTAGAGGCGGGATTTCTTAACCTCGAGTCACTTTCCACTACATCCCAGATTAAGGATAGCACAGCCTTATCCAAAGGGGGAGGTGGCCTAGAAAATGCTCAGGGGAGCCCCCAAAGCACCCCCAGGACACTCATCCAGACTCAGCTTAAGACCTGCAGGGTGGCTTCTGTCTCTGTCCCTACACTGCTCTTGACCACTAACTGTGCCTGTCAGCCCTCCACTGCCACACCCCAAAGCTCCCTGGATACCCCAATACAACCTGCCCGGCTGGTGGGTCCAGTACCCAAGAACCCTCCTCATCCCTGGCGATGCCTCTGGAAGGGGGTCATTCACAGCCTAAGGGATCCAGAGACTCCTGTGAAGACCTCCCAGGAAACTTCATGCCTGCCCCTCAACCTCAGAAATTCAGAATCAACCGGTCTGGGGTGGGATCTGTGCTTCAGTATGATTTGTTGTTGTTGTCGTTGGTTTCGCTTTTTGTTTTTTTTTGAGACAGAGTCTCACTCTGTCACCCAGGCTGCATTACAGTGACTCGATCTTGGCTCACTGCAGCCTCCGTCTTTCGAATTCAAGTGATTCTCCTGCCTCAGCCTCCCATGTAGCTGGGATTACAGGTATGCACCATCATGCCCAACTAATTTTTGTATTTTTAGTAGAGATGGGGTTTCACCATGTTGGCCAGGCTGGTCTCAAACTCCTGACCTCAGGGGATCTGCCCACCTCGGCCTCCCAAAGTGCTGGGATTACAGGCATGAGTCACCATGCCTGGCCCAGCATGTTTTTTTGTTTGTTTGTTTGTTTTTAACTCCACAAGTGATTCTAAATTCAGCAAGAATTAGAGCCAGTCCTAAGCAACTGGTTGGAAATGCAGAACCTCAGGCCCCACCCTAATCTGAAGAATCACCATGCGCCTTCCCATTTGAGAAGCACTGCCCTAGACCAAACCCTGTCTCCGCAAGCCAGGCCCCTGGGAAAGGGCAACTGGAGGTAGGAGGGCGCACAGGCCAGATGGAATTAGAGAGAGGATGGCCAGGACCTCCACCCCCCGCCCGGTCGCATCCGCACAGCACTCAGAGGTGCGAAATACTTTCCCTGTGTTCCCTCATCCTATCTCAGCCCTGTCCTCTGAGAGTCAGGAAGACAGTTTCATGCCTGTGTGGGGAAACTGAGGCTGGGGCAGAGCCTGAACTTGACCAGACCATCCCTCACTCCTCTATCACCCCTGGCTCTGCAGGCAGCAGATTTCCTGAGCTTCATTTCAGTGTATCCTGCAGGGAAGGCAGGGAGGGAGGGTGACCTTCGCTCCATGTGACAGGTGAGGGACCAGGAACCCAGGGTGGGGAACACAGGTGGAAAGCAGGGCCAGCTGCAGTCCTCAGGAAGAGGACTCGGGAGCCGGGGGATGAAGGGTCACTGCTGAGCGGAGGCAGCTCTGCCAGGCAGTGTCATCAGTGGGCTTCACGTTTGACTGACAGATATTCCTTTCCTCTCCTCCTCTCCAGGACCCATTTTCTGAGTAAATCTGGGACCAGCCTTAACAAAAGCCAGGCCGAGTCCCAGGAAAACTCTGTTGCTCCAGAAAGGCCTCCTTGGGCCATGGAAGGAAGCCTGGATTTCCACCATTCTGCTCAGACCAGGCGCCTCTCTGCTTCGAAATAAACACCCAGACAGAGGACAGGCCACAGAGCCCACCAGACACCACATCTTGCCATGGACAGTGACAAACCCTCATTTCAGGACAGAGGGGTGATGGGGGGTGGGGTAAGGAGGTTACAAGCATCCCTGAGGAAGGGTCAGGAATGAGGGGTAAAGGGACCCCTACCAGCCCCAGCAGGGAAAGGAGGAGAAGGCAACGCTGGCCCTCCCGTTGTCCTGCTGGGGCAGAGGCCCAGGTGTCTTCAGCCGGGATCCCTCCCCTCTCTAAGCTCCCTGCTCTTCAGGGATGAATGTGGGTCCTTCACCCTCCCCTGCTGGAGAAAACTGGGTTCCTAGGGCCTAGGAAGGGATGGAGGGGAACCCAGTTGCCATCATGGTGGGCAGGGATGTGTTCGCAGCAGGGACCCAACCACACACACAGCCCTGGTCATCTGACAGCCCTTCCTACCCCTCTGCAGGCCCACCTGCCTCACCCAGCACTGCTCAGCAGAAAGCCCAGCACAGCCCTGAGAGGAAGGCAGTGTCTGTGCGGGGACAAGGGAGAGAGAGAGGGAGTGGCCCCTTCTGTCTAGCGTGGCTTCCTGCAGACAGAGCGTGCCCACTGCTACCCCCACCCCCATCCTGGCACAGCTGGGCCAAGGAGGGCAAAGGAGGAGACAGGGAGTTAGAGAGGGGGCAGCTGTGGGACCCCACATTCTACCTCCTAACTCTAGGTTCTTTCCCTCAACCACCCCTCCTGCCCCAGGGGGCCTCAGGCCAGTCACAGACACAGCAGAGGGCAGGGAGGTCCTTTCCTCAAAGAGGAGGAACTGAGGGGTGGAAGGATGAGTGGGGACCCACCGGGAGAGAGAGATGCCAGGCAGGCAGGCAGCGGGCGGGCAGCAGCGGGTGTTGGAGGCGACTGCAGGGCAGCCGGGCACGACTGGCTAGATGCTCGTCCTCGTCCCTCTGTCCATCCAGGGCGGCTCCTCTCCGGGCAGTTCTGAGGCCGAGCGGGCGCTGTTAAAAAGCTTTTTATGTGTGTGTGTGTTAATCACATGATTGCCGTTCACCTGTATTTCGAACAAAGACAGCTCACTGTTTCAAGGCCCCGAACAAGAGTCTGGGCACAGGGAAGAGAAGAGAGGCGGGGGGAGGAGGGTTGGCAGCGCCGGGGGTGGCGTCGAGGAAAACTGGGGGGAGATTGTCCAAGGCCAGCAAGCGAGAGAAAGAGAAAACCCTTATCAAACTCCTAATTCACTGGGCTCCGAGGCCCCAGACACACTGGCCCGATTGTCTGGCTGGTTGTGTGTGTGAGCATGTGTGTGTGTGTGTGTGTGTGTTCCAGTGTCCGCTCCCCCCACCCCCAACATGCCTCTGCCTCGTGTGACTACCTCATTGTATCCCATTACCCACCCCCCACACCCCTTTGGCCTTTCCCAAGCATGAGGCCTTGCCTCCCCAGACCCCTTCCAGCCCACTCCAGACAGGACCCCTTGAGGTGGGCCTGGGGTCTTGCCCAGCTGCTGAGGGGCTCAGAACCACACATGGTCGCCAATGTGGCCCCAGCTCCACTGCATACCCCACATGCACCCCACCTCGGCCTCAACACCTGGGCGGGGCTGCCCTCAGTTAAGAGGAAGGAGAGGCCTTTGGAGGAGAGGCCTAGGAGACAGGAGGTGTCCTGGGATGATGGGCAGGAAAGAATAGGGGAGGGAGGGAGAGGTGGGCAGAGGAGGGAAGACGCAGGGCAAGGCCCTAGCCCTTCTTGGGGTGGTGGAGTAGAGGACTTCATGACAACCAGAACTAGGACTCCCTCACCCTCTCCCACAGGGTGATCCCCGCGTGGAGGGAGTTGGGTCCCAGGAAGCAGGAACTCAGAATGCCTCTAAGACCTACTGAGAGAGGGCCCCCACCCTGTCCCACCTTGGCCCTCCTGGGAACCCCTCAGCCCCTTGAACCAGACCAGCCCATGTGTGCGCTGGGTGTCTGCAGAGAAGGGGCCAGGGCTCAAGCTGGGGCTCTGATTGTCTCAGGGGGAGCCCTGAGAAGTCTCTTCCACTGTGCAGGATGTGGCAGAAAGGGCAGCCTGGGAAAAGGTGGGAGGCAGGGTGGGGAGCTGGGCAGTGGTGCCCAGCATGCAGTAGGCACTCAACAGGATTTTGAAGATGAAGCAGCTCGGGCCAGCCTCCCTCACGGGCCCACAGAACGCTCAACACCTTCATGTCTCTCCCTAGTCCCCTGCCAAGTGCCCATCCTGCCAGAGGCAGACGTTGGGCGTCCTGAAGGCCCAAATTTTCCTCCAAGCAACAGGTTCTGACCCTCCCACCTTCATCTCTTCCTTCCCTGGCCTAACCACCCCTCCGCCTCCCGGACTAAGCCTAAGCTAAGCCCCAGCGAGATGGGCCTGGGCAGCAGGGCAGAGTTAGGTGGGGGGGCCTGGGCTCCGGGTGGAGGAGCCCTGAGTGTTGGGGATGAAGGAAAGCCTGGAGGCTCCACCTTCTGCCCTTCCCTCCCTCCTCTCCCCCTCCCCCCTCTCCCCCTCCTTCCTTCCCCAGCCCTCTGCAGCGGCTCAGTCGCTCAGTCAGTCTCGGGCTGTCCGGCCAGGGTGGTTGGTGGTAAGGATTCAGGCTCCGTCCCAACAAGGCCGTGGCCTGAGGCTCAGGGCCCCCCGCCCCTCCCTCCCAGCGCACCAGCGTCACCCCCCAGCCCCGAGCTGGACCGCACACCTTGGGACACGGTTTTCCACTTCCTAAGGACGAGCCCCAGACTGGAGGAGAGGTCCGAGGAGGTGAGTGCGCAGCCTGCTGTCCCTGGCCCGCTCAGGCCTGGGACCCTGCTGTGGGGTGGAGAGCGGCGACACCTCGCCCTTGCCCCCTACCTGGCTCTCCTCTAAACCCCGTTGGGGCAGGCTGAGGGAAGAAGGAAAGGTGAGAGAAAAGGTGGGAAATTCCAGGGGCCGGGATTAGGGCAAAATAAAGGTTCCGTTTTTTTCTTCCTTATCATCAACAAACCTCCACCAAAAAAGGAGGTTAAAAAAAAAAAAAGTCACCCACACCAAGAGACCGTTGGGACCTGGTGGTGGGAAGACGCAGAGGCGGGACGCACCCACCTAGAGTCTGGCATGTGCGTGGGCCCCAGGGGCTAGAGTGGGTTTAGCTGGAGCAGGAAGGGCCGCCACCTCGGGGCTGTGCCTGCGTCCCGTCCCGGGCCGCCACCTCGGGGCTGTGCCTGCGTCCCGTCCCGGGCCGCCCTCGGGGCTGCGCGCGCTGCCGCTCCATCGCGCCCTCCTTCCATCCAGGTGGGCGTTGGACTCTTCGCGAGGACCCCGGCGGCGGGCCCGGGGGAGGCGGCGGAGGCGGCCGGGGGCGACATGGCGGAGGAGCAGGACCTATCCGAGGTGGAGCTGAGCCCCGTGGGCTCCGAGGAGCCCCGCTGCCTGTCCCCGGGGAGCGCGCCCTCGCTAGGGCCCGACGGCGGCGGCGGCGGCGGCGGATCGGGCCTGCGAGCCAGCCCAGGGCCCGGCGAGCTGGGCAAGGTCAAGAAGGAGCAGCAGGACGGCGAGGCGGACGATGACAAGTTCCCCGTGTGCATCCGCGAGGCCGTCAGCCAGGTGCTTAGCGGCTACGACTGGACGCTGGTGCCCATGCCCGTGCGCGTCAATGGCGCCAGCAAGAGCAAGCCGCACGTCAAACGGCCCATGAACGCCTTCATGGTGTGGGCGCAGGCGGCACGCAGGAAGCTCGCGGACCAGTACCCGCACCTGCACAATGCCGAGCTCAGCAAGACGCTGGGCAAGCTCTGGAGGTGAGCACCCGACCGCCCCGGGCTCGGCCCTCTAGCTTCGGGTGGATTCAGGGAAGCCGAGGCGGCTAGCACCCCAGAGCAATCCTGCACCCCAGAGCGGGATTGCCTGGCAGTCCTCCTTGGATGGGGCTGGAGACCAGGTGTGGGGGCCGCGCCCGCCCTTCCACCACAAGGACCCTGGAACTCGGAACTCCAGAGGCCTAGGCCGGGTCTCCCCTCAGGGCAGCGGGCAGGAAGGCGCCCCCTCGTGGTTGGAATTCTGCGGGTGGCAGACCGTGGGGCCTGGGGCTTCCTAGGGAGGGAGGGAGACCTTCACTAACGCCCTGCCCACAGACACGCACACTCATGCCACCAGCTGCTGTGGTCAGGAGGATTCGAGGGAAACGCTTGGAAGGAACCAAAGGCTTGGCTGGAGATGCAGGGAAACTGAGGCAGTCAGATGGAGAACTCGGGGGAAGTCCAAAGCAAACAAGGAATTCAGATGAGGGTCTTTGGAAGAGTGAGGGATGAAGAACTTTGGGGGAAACATGTTCCTGCTGCTGCAGGACCTCATCCTATCCTAAGGGTCTTCCCTGGGACTTTCTGACCCCACCCTCCTGTGAATTGGGGCTTCTTCATCCTCCTAGGGAGAGGACACACAGAAAGGGGCCGCCTCCTCCTGCCCTGTCCCAGAGCCACCAAGCTGATCTCTTTCCTTTCCTCCCTCTCCCAGTTCGGCGCCATCTTCCCTGCCAGCGCCCCACCCCAACATTGAGCAACCTCTTCCCCCTAGCCCCAGAGCTGGAGCTGAGCACGCTGTCCAGAAGGAAACCTTGGCCCCCTTCCTGCCCAGGGGCCCTCAGAGTCCCAGGTTCCCTGGGACCAGCCCACACCTCTAGGAAAAACGTCCCCCCCAGGGAGCGATTCTGCCACCCTCAACTCAGATCTTGGGTTCAGCCAGGCCTCCTGGGGATGTGTGGAACAAGGCAACCCCCCACTCCCACCCCAGGAGTCCCAGAGCAGCTCCGAAAGAGAACAGGGACTCCAGGAGATGTGAGCCGGTAGCAGTCACCTGATTCCCACTAGACTGGCCAAGAGACAGGCCCAGAAAGGCAAAGGAATCAATCACAAAGGTCACATAGAAGTTGGTGGCAGAGCCAGGGCCAGAACACAGGACTCCCATACTTCGTCCAGAGGACTTCCCCGACATTGTCCCTGGAGACAGTGGTGGATCACCTTTACTCTGAGGAGTGGCCAGGAGGTTGGGGGGAAACAAGAAGTTGTGGAGATCTGGGTCCCAGAAAGCAAGGGCTTTGTCAGAGGAGCCTGCCTTCCTTCTGCTGCCCTCCCCCTTGCCGGCCACAGCTGGGCAGAGATTGGGTCTAGAGGCTTAGAGTGGTGGAAGGAGCAGGAGGGTCTCCAACAGATCAAAAGATTCAACAGCCCCCTGGCCTGTTCTTGCCAGGTGTTTGCTGAAGGCCTGGTGTCCCTTCCCCTGCCCTTCCTCAGCCCTTATCACCCTGCTCACCCAGGGCAGGCCCAGGGCTCAGCAACCAGGCCGCTGTGTGGACCCAGACAGCCCAGTTCTGCTCAAGAATAGAGGTCACAGCTAGCTCCTCCGACCAAGGTCCATTCAGATTTGGATGGGGCTTGACCCAGGCCAGTACCTTTAGTGCCAGGGAACAAACAGCAAGTGAGAAACAGACAACCAGGAGAGACAGACAGGGCAGGCCCTGGGGACCATGAGAAGACCGCAGTGTGAGCTCAACGAGAGTCAAAGCAAGGATGGACCCCATTCTCCCTCTACCTCCCATTGCCAAGGGTTTGAGATTGGTTCCTCCTTTGTCCCTGTCCCCAGATTCCCCTAGCCCAGAAACCTGGGCTTGGACTCCCTTCAGGAGGACTCATTCTTGGCCATCACTCAAGTTATGTGCACAGGGGCCAGCCTGGGGTGTGGCAATCAGGAAAACTCGCACTGCTTGCTGAGAACCCAGTGCCAGAGGGAGGAAGGGGCCAGAATCATGGCAAGGATCAAAGGCAATGCCAACAGATGGTGGCTCCCTAGACCCTGGATGGGGGTCTTGAAAGACATGTGGATGTGGGCTGGGCTGGCCAATTGCTCCAGGAGCTTCTCCTGAACCTCCCTAAGCTGTGACTCCCAGGATGTCAGGAAGAGGGGGTCGTTAGGTAGGCAGAGCTGGACAACAGGTGTCTTAAAACCAAAAAGAGAAAGATACAAACTGTGTGGAGAGCCCCAAGGGAATGTGGGATCAGACACGCTGGAGCCCAGGTCCTAAGGGGCCATGTGAGCCCCGAAGTCATGCTAACCTTTGATGCCCATCTGGGGAGGGGCTAGCAGAGGCTGATCACAGGGTAATGGCTGTGGGTTGGTTGACCTGCCTGGAAAAAACCAGAGCCAAGAAACTGGAAAAGGGAACACAGATAAGAATCCCTCCCTCATGGTGGGGGTCACCCAGCCTCTCCTGTTCCCAGTGCCACAGGCCCCTTCCCCAGGTAAAATCTTCTTATGCCCCTGGCCTAGCAGGACACATGTAGGAGCAACCGGTGCCCCACTGTGGGAGCTCTCTGGTTGGGGTTTCCAGTTTGGGTGGGGGATCAGCCTACCTCTTCCCAGCCCCATTCCAAACCTGGGAGATCAAGGGGAAAGAGGGCTGACGGGAAGGCACAAATGAGGATGGGTTTGGAGTTAGAGCTGGGGGCAATGTGGGGAGTTTGGGGCTGGTAATGTTGAGTGAGGGCTGGTGCTGGAGATTGGGTTTACATGGTGGGCAGGCTGGGTCTGGGGTTGGGCTGGAGGTAGAATCAGCTGTCCCGCACAGCTGGTGGAGGAGGCACTGGGTTTAGGGCTGGGGTCAGGGATGGCAGCAGGCCGGGG